ACTGAGCTATCGCGGCAGTATATATATATATATATATATATATATATATATATATATATATATATATATATATATATATATATATATATATATATATATATACACATCACAAAATTAAGCATAAACATACAGATAGACGTGAAGATAGACAAACATAAACCGAAAGATAAATTTCAAAAGTAAAAGAGATAGTAACAGACATGCATCGCAGGACTTAGTCAAATATTCACTGATGAGCGGAGGTTAATGCCCTAGAAATGATATCCTCACCTAAAAAAATAAATCCTATGATATCCTTTGAAAGTGCATTGGTATCCTGATAATCCTTCTAAATTATCCATTAACTTGTGAGTGAATATCAAAGGAATTTGATCAAGGTGAAAGTACAATTTTATTTGTCTATGTTGTTATTATCGTCATTAGCAGCATATAAATCCCTATTTGTTGTTTCTATAAGCATCTCTATCATTATCACTTTTATAAATATTGTTGTCGTTGTTATAACTATTGTTGTTGTTATTTTCATCAAATATGACATTGTTATCATTACTATTTTATATTTCTTATTACTACTAGTATTGTTATCATCACTGTCACAATTATCATCATTCTCATAATAATAATCATGAGAATGAGGATAATAATAATAATCATGATGATGGTGGTAATAAGAATAATTATAATAACAACAACATTGATAATAATAATTATCATAATTATTTCATATTATCATATTTGTTTGACAGTGCTATCATAAGAAAGGATCCAAGTATCATTATCATTACTGATGTTTCATTTTTACAATTATCAATATCATTATCACCATTCCTGCTTTTATAAATATCATTACCATTAATGCAGTATCAATTATCACCAATATATTTTATTATCATTTTTCTTTTCATTCCTACCATTACACTCACTGCATCTGTTGCTTTTATCATTAAAACAATTTACATCGAACGGATTTAGGACACCGACTGAATACTTGGTAGTCCGCCTTTGACCTATTCAAGTAATGGTGACCTAACTTCGCCTGCTCTTGCCAGTGCTGACCAAAGTTTAGTCTGGCTTTAACACCTCAGTCCGATCTGGTTTCCCTGGCTTTGTTGCCGCCTGAAGATGTTCATGCGAGTTTCTGTCACTTTATCTTCTCTAAATGTACCTTGAACGGTGGATTTTCACGGTTTTATATGCATGCAGCATACGAATGTATATATATATATATATATATATATATATATATATATATATATATATATATATATATATATATATATATATATATAAACACACACACACACACACACACACTCACACACACACACACACACACAAATATATATATATATATATATATATATATATATATATATATATATATATATATATATATATATATATATATAAACATATACACAAACAAAAACAAAAACAGAAAAAAACATGCCAAGCTTCACCCGAGAAAACGAGTTCAAAATCTCCGGAGCTTAAAACGCGACCAAAATTTGCGTTTTCCAAGAATGAATGTTCTGAAAGGCTGGAGGCATTTCCTGTCTTAACGGGAACCCCGAATGACACGTGGAACTGCCTTGCAAATGTTGCACAAAAACTTTCAAGAGGATTTTGCCATGTCTTAGGATTCTTTTGTTTGTTGATGAGATCTGGTGATGATGGTTATTCATAATGTCGTTGGTAATTAGTAGGTGCATTCTTATTAATGATTATTAGTGTCATTGTTATTATCAATATCATGAATAGCAGTAGTAGGCGTGGTGTTTTTTTTTATATTATTGTTGTTTTTATTATCCTTATCGTTTATTATCACTGTCACGGCTGTTATCTATTTTCATTATCACGTTTTTTTATGATTACTAGTAATGAGTCACTATTGTTGTAGTTAGCCTCACCTCACCATTATTAATTTCATTTATGTATTTAGGTTAAATTCTTATGCTCATTTCTTATTACATTACCCTTTCGGTATACATATATTCAAAAAAGATTTTTGAAAACACCGATGCCACTGTTATTCTTCGTAATTATTATAATTTAAAAAGTATATTTGAACAACGAAACGTTATCACATTAAAAAAAAAAAAATGTAGTGAAGACGCTATACAGAAAATATCTAATTTTACTACTTATATGCTACCATACAGTTTATATGATATATATAACTTCATATATACTGGTTTGTTATTATGGCGAATGTATACCACGGGGGGCAATATTACGTGAATAATAGACATATGCCAAGAAACCCTTTCTAACTAATATGATAAAATCTTGTCTATATCTGTTCGTCTCTAAGTCCGCTAAATTTTGTCTCTTGTAATTTTGCGAAGACGAAAAATAACAAAAAAAACAAAACGAAACAAAAAAAAACATGGACGCAAACAATTTCCACTGTGGTTATGTGAAATAGTTTGCAAAATCTTATGGGGTCTCTCTCTATCTATCCATCTCTCTCTCTCTCTCTCTCTCTCTCTCTCTCTCTCTCTCTCTCTCTCTCTCTCTCTCTCTCTCTCTCTCTCTCTCTCTCTCTCTCTCTCTCTCTCTTTATCCGTCTATCTGTCTCTCTGTCCACCTGTCTGCCTCTATCTCTGCAAGATACGAAAAGGCAAAATATCAAAAACAAAACAAAAATAACAAACGAAGAAACAGACAAACACGACGAGAAACGAAAAATGCACACCAATAGTGAACGAAAATTTCCCATCCTCTTTCGTTCCTCTTCATTACGTTGCACGAATATAAATATTTCTTTTTCTGTTGCATCAAAACCTTTTTTTCCCCGGTGCTCCCCGCTGGCCAAGTCATTTTGCAAATCTTGAGGCGCCAGTTACTCGCTTAAGACCTTACTGGAAGACGCTCTATAAACAGGTCAATAGATCCATGTTGTTAAGGATCCAAGTTGCAAGGTCAAAAGGTCAATTCTTTATTATTCAATTCAATTATTATTATTCCCTCTTTCTTTCCTCGTCTGTCTGAATATATGTCTAATAGTTTATCTTTATATTTATTAATGCATCGATATTTCTTCCTTTGGCCATAGATCTGTAGGTCAGTCTGTTTATTTCATGAATACCTTGATCTGTTTATTTATCAATTTATCTTAACTTATTCGTCTTTTACTCATGTCCATGTTTACCGACGCCTGCATTCATAAATCTATTCATCTTTATACTTTTATATTACTGATCTGTTTATTTACCTAACTTTCTCTTCATTTACATACTAGGTGGCATTTGAAACAATGGAAAAAAAATATAAACATAACAACAAGGATATACGATATAGAATAAAACCTTATTATAGGATCCAAGCTGCACGATCCGATGTTCAGTTGTTTTATTGTCATCTATCAACTCGTCTATTAATTCCTTTGTCTATTTTTGGAGGCGCTTCCGTCAGTGAAAGAATGTCTATTAAGACGTGGGGGAAATTGTGATGACCATACTTTTAAGAAGTTGTAAGGAAGTGAAGAGAGAGAGAGAGAGAGAGAGAGAGAGAGAGAGAGAGAGAGAGAGAGAGAGAGAGAGAGAGAGAGAGAGAGAGAGAGAGAGAGAGACAGACACAGAGAGAGAGAGAGAGAGAGAGAGAGAGAGAGAGAGAGAGAGAGAGAGAGAGAGAGAGAGAGAGAGAGAGAGAGAGAGAGAAGGAGAGAGAGAAGGAGAGAGAGAGAGAGAGAGAGAGAGAGAGAGAGAGAGAGAGAGAGAGAGAGAGAGAGAGAGAGAGAGAGAGAGAGAGAGAAGGAGAGATAGATAGATAGATAGATAGATAGATAGATAGATAGATATAGAGAGAGAGAGAGAGAGAGAGAGAGAGAGAGAGAGAGACAGACAGACAGACAGATAGACAGACAGACAGAGAAAATGTCAGAGAGAGAGAGAGGGGGGAGGGGGGAGGAGAAAAGTGGAGGTTCAATTATGTCGAGATGAAAATGGTAAAGTCTTTGAAATAGGAAGTTGAGATGAGAATGTGAAAACGCTATTGGGATCATTTCATGTCGGAGACGGATATTTTTTTGCCCTCATTTTCTTTTCTTTTTCTTTTCTGTTTCATTTTTTTTTATTCTCTCATTTGGTAATTTTCTCTCTCTCTCTC